TTGCAAACTGCAAAGTTACCAAATAGTAAACCAACGGAAACCAAATATTGCAAAATGGAGTCACAGTTTCTCAGAGGGTCTCCGTCAAGTACAATCGGCTCTTGCAGCGGAAGCTGAAGCCATTGCGAGAGCCCTACAGCCGGCGTTGATAGTGGTGGAGGCAGAAAAAAAAATATTTACCGGGATCATAATAAATTTTTGATCTAAAAAATGCAAAAAATAATTATAGCAAAAAAATACCATCGTAATTACATTTTTAAATGTATTCTATGCTTACTCACATTTTGGAATCGTTTTTATCATTTTTTTCGGTTACCACTATGTAACACATTTTTATTTTAATAAAACATACTAAACAATAACTTATGTTGACGCCTCCGTTCTAATCTCTTCAATATCTAAAGTATTAAAAAATTTATTGTAGCAAAAGAAAAGAGAGAAATTATTACCTAAATTCTTAAGTCCAATTTGATTCCAATAGAGGCATTACCTCCGCCACTGGCCGTTGATCTAAACAGAACGGAGCTCACATTATACTCAGATTCTCAAACCATGGTGAAGCTGCTTAATGGGAAAGAGCAACACATATGTTGGCGGATTTGTTTGCTAAACAAGCGCTGAAATCGCTTTCAATCTCTGTACCAACATTTTAATGAGTAATGCAAATCTGTTGATCAAAAGAAAAAGTTCCACAACTTTCAACACATGATGTAGAAAGCTCAACTCAATTCGTTTTGCTTTACCAATATCCGTTTTGATAGCTAGGAAACCTTTGGAGCACCATTTCTCATGTGAATAGCGATTAATATGAACTATATGTTGCGGGAGCTAAACGTGATTCAACTCCATATCTTTGATTCTATCCTTTACTTTTTCCAAAAAATACACAAAAATGGTTCTAAGATTACATTGCAAATGGATAAAACATCACACAAGTTGCCTTGTCCTAATCCTCGTCACCATCGATGTGTGTTCGGAAGATGTAGTCTTCGCCTTCAAGTTCATCTTGATATAGGGATATTGATGGATCATTGCATTTCTCATCTTCTTCTTTCTCTTCATTACATCTCTTTCCCTGACAAAAAAAAATCGGGTTTCAGTGAATATCACAAGTTAAAAAATCACCTTGTCCTAATCCTTTGATCATGAAACTTGTTTGAAAATAGCATACTAAACACTGACTGATGAAGTTTTAGATCTCAAAATTCATTTGTCTTACAAGTTTGTTGGATTCCCGGTCACCTATTGTGTGATTTTATGATTCTCACCATTCAGCATTTCGTTACCAATGTTAGGACGAACAACTTGAAACCAAGTTCAAATTTTTTACTAAGATGTTGTGGGAGTTTGCTAAAGAGCTACTAAAAGCTAATTAAAACAGAGAGCAATAGCTAACCCCTTAAGCAAAGATTCTTTGAAGACTGACCTTTCTCAAGATATAAAAGAAATAATGGAAGCCATCGCCAAATGTATTGTACTCCATGGACCACGTAAACTTAGGATCCTTAAACAAAGGACGTCTGAAATGCGGCTGCACGAGAAAACAACAAGAATTTCAAAAGCTAAAAACCAAACAAATGCAAGAATATGATTTTGAGATTTGCTTTAAATACCTGGCCAAATGTAATGGAAATGAAAACCCCATCTGGTTTCAGAACCCGGTGAACTCCTTCAAGAGTTGCCATGACTTTGCTTACAGTTTCTTGACGCGGATTCCATGGATCACCAGCATCCACAAACAGTACATCCTTCACGAAGAAAGGAACAATTCATGAGTTTTTCCCCGTTGAAGTTAAAGAAAATATATGCTACGAAACCACATTCGAAAATCTTAAGTCCTAAACAAACAACGGATTGAAAGAGAAGTTTATATCCGTTTTACCATGGTCCCTTTCTCAATAACCACATCAAAAGACTCGTTGCTAAATGGGAGTTCTAGCATGTCAGCTTGCACCACTTTTATCTCTGAATATATCAAAAATCTCATGTCAAAAACATTAACTTGTCGAACGCATGATCCAACAAAACTCTGAGCTTCAACAAGCAACACACAAAACAGCATAAAACTAATGAAGTTCTCTCAGCTAACATAACAAAAAGACTACACCGAAATTCAAAAAATCAGAAACACAAGAAACGAAATGCTGAAGCAATCTCAAAGCAAATACCTTTGTACCCTTTTGATACCAATCTACTCTGCATCTTCTGTACCGCAACAGAAGACAAATCAATACATGTAATATCAACAATCCCATCTTTGTACATTTCATCACACAACTGAGAGTTCCCACATCCCAATTCCAATACCTATATTAACAAAAACAAAGTAAAAAACTCAAAAATCACAACTTTGTGCGTTTTTTTTGGTGTGAAATACGAAAGAGAGTAGGGACAATGTACGAACAGAAGAAGAGGTTTTGATATTGGATTTGATGAGATGCTGGAAATGAGAGTAGTCTTTGAACCATTCATAGTGTTCCTCGGAAGAGAACCTCTCGTCCCTGCATTTTTAGCGAATATTCACACATTCAGGAAAGAGAAGGAACAGAGATTTTTTCGAGCTGAAAATGTGATTCATTACCAGTAGTGAGGATCGAGATAGGTTAGAACAGAAGGAGGACCGACGGAATTCGGATCCGGGTTTAAATTTGGATCCGAATTACGATTGGCGGGTCTAGACTCCATTGTTGTACCTGCTCGATTCTCCTGTGAGCATAAACCCTAAACCCCTTTCTCTGCTAATTACTATTGGCTTAGGTTAACGATGATGATAATGACATAAAGCCTAAAGCCCATGTTATAATAATATATGGGCCTCAATAATAGCCCATTTATGAAGCTAATTCGAAGCTATATGTTTCTCAGATTATAGTAAAAAATTTTTTTACCGAGATTGATTTCAAACCAAAATTCATATTAATTTTCGAATTGTAGATAATTTGTTTTTTGTTTTTTCTGGATTTATATGTTAAACGTTTAAGGTGTATATGGTAGCAAAGAAAAAAAACAAAACTAATCCTTTGATTAGAAAAGTAGTTACACTAAATTGTCGGATTAAATTTACAAATTAATAAGTTAAATCAGCGAAATTTCATAGATTTTCACGTAGTAAAACTTTGGGTAGCTAAATGGATAATCTGTAAAAATGATTTTTTTTTATTA